GGATAGATGGCGATGCTAGCGGGTGGCTAATGCCTTTTTCGGTCACTATAAGCGGTTTGATTGAATTTAAACTGATCAACCATAGGAAGAATACTGATGATATGTTTGTAACATTTCGTTCTAAACATTTTGCACCTATTTTGTTTTTAGAATATCCATACTCACGTGACTTCAACATAAATTTTATTTTCTGTTCGGCGAAACTAGTCTGCTGTGATAGAATAGCCAATCAAAGAAACGGTTATTCTTCTATGCCATATTTTCTTCAATGATATTCTCGTTTTAGCGAAGAAAATAAACTGTTTGTTTGTAATTAACACAAAGCTACACAATGGGCTATCTGTGATCTGGCCACCACGGGTATCGAAACCCGGATTCTAGCGTTGTAAGTCAGCAGACATACCGCTGTGCCACGGGGAGGGGGGCAAAAGAAACTGATAAATAAATACGTTTCACTTATGAAATTGAGAACAATCTTAGTCTGCCCTTCCTAGAACTTTATAAATACTGACCCTAACAGTTTTTCTACGTCCACGCGCCGAAATATTTATATATACACATTTTGTGCATTTTTTTCTGCAACATAATGAGTACCTCTGACTGAATCTCCAAACCATTACTCGTGAGATTTGTATATCAAATAAAACTTATTTTTTCATTCGAAGGACTACATACCAACACCACTCATGAAGTTAGGGCGCTTGACTCGCAGTTTGAGGGTCCCACCAAACACACCTGCCCTTTCAGCCGTGAGGGTGTTATAATGTGACAGTCAATTCCACTATTCGTTGGTAAAAGAGTAGCCCAAGAGTTAGCGGTGGGTGGTGATGACTAGCTGCCTTCCTTCTAGTCTATCACTGCTAAATTACAGACGGGTAGCGCAGATAGCTCTCGTGTAGCTTTGCATAAATTGGCAAATATAACTATGAAAAATGGACTCCTTTCTAGGAGATAAATAGTCTGATACGAAGTTCGAGCCAATTAAATCGTGTTAATTACTTACGCGTGCTTGTATACAGTAATGCGAATTAAACGTTACAGAAACTAATTTATCATTACATTACTTATAATCTAATTACACGGTCCAAAATCCCATCGCTGATGCAAGCGCATCTATGAACGGTATGACTAATATTGTCAATTACAGTATAAGTTTTGGGCTATCTGTTGTGTCCACCGAGGGAGGCCAGGTGGTTAAGGTGCTTGACTCGCAATCTGCGGGTCGCGAGTGCGAATCCGCGTCACACCAAACATGCTCGCCCTTTCAGCCGTGAGGGCGTTATAATGTGACGGTCAATCACACTATTCGTAGGTACAAAAATAGCCTAAGAGTTGGCGGTGAGCGGTGATAACTAGCTGCCTTCCCTCTAGTCTTAAACTGCTAAATTAAGGACGGCTAGCGCAGATAGCCCTCGTGTAAATTTGCGCGAAATTAAAATAATTTTATCCTGTAGGTATTTCTATGCTGTAGCATCATGTCAACAAATATTTGTTTGTTGTTTTTATTTTTCTATTTACCTTGTAACTTTATAACTCAATTAGTTTAATTGCGATCTCCATCCTGAATTTTCTTCCTTTTAGTTTTTTACACTGAAGGAACATTTCTGGCACTGTTTTTAGCATTCACCTCGAGAGACTACAGTGAAAAAGGCTGAAGATCAAAGCTGACAGACATAAATTAGTGACACCATATGTTCAATCCCACTCTTATTGGCTGAAGAACGAGACTTGTCAAGATTAATGGTTGGATTCCAATCTGTCTACTTCCTTCTTAGTCTGATCAGGTTAAGACAGAAATCACTTGAAACTTTGTTGATGATAGATAAGATATTATTTTACAACTTCTTTCCTCGTTCAGTGAAGTTGAGGATATTCCTTTTCCAGATGCCCTACACTTAGTTGTCATCTAAGATAAATTAAACATCTCAGCACGCCATGCCCTGTTACTATATTCGCAACAGGTAAGGAAAAAGTCTCAAGGTCAAGGCTGACATAAATTTGTGACAACTTCTATTCAAGTTTTTTTGGCAAGAAATCAAACACTTTACTTCCTTCCAGGTAAGATGGGATAAGAAAACCGAATAAAATATTGCTTAGCAACTTTTTTTTTCAGTCAATGATAGAATGGTTGTAGTTGGTTTCAGCAACTGTTTTCTCAATCAGCGATAGAATGGTTGTAGTTGGTTTTAGCAACTGTTTTTTCAATCAGCGATAGAATGGTTGTAGTTGGTTTTAGCAACTGTTTTTTCAATCAATGATAAAATGGTTGTAGTTGTTTTTAGCAACTGTATTTTCAATCAGCGACAGAATGGTTGTAATTGGTTTTAGCAACTGTATTTTCAATTAATGATAGAATGATTTTAGTTGGTTTTAGCAACTGTTTTTTTCAATCAGCGACAGAATGGTTGTAATTGGCAATAGCTATGTTTTAATTTTAATGATAAAATAATTGTAGTTGATTTTAGCAACCTTTTTCGTTCAGTTATAGAATGATAGTGGTTGATTTTAGGGACCTGATCCTGACTTCCACTTTGATTTTTCTTTTCATTAAAGTGATGGACATATATCATCTGGCAAATTTTTATTACCATTCGACACAGTGTGTCAGTGTATATCCACCTTGATTGGCAATTCTATAAATGACCAGTTATCCGTAATTTGTATTGTCTGTGGTTATAGCCAAAGTTTATAATAATGTCATTTGTTGTTTTTTTCTGCTACTTTATTCGAATATTTACCATTTACTCACTTATTTCATACATAAGACTTCTCTCTCAATTCTAAACTTTAAGCAATTAAAAATTCAATTCGGATCACTGTAACCTTTGATTTTATTATTGTAATTTCTTGGTAGGGTTGATCAAAACGTCACAGCACAAAATACCAAAAATGAACTTAAATATATTTTTTTCTATACTATCTAAGAAAATGATCATATATTTATTCTATTAGATACATATAAACATATTTTGTTATTTTCTCACATATATAACGTATGTTACATTCTAGTTTTTCCTTTTTCATATGGGTAAAAACTTTGTAAGATTTGTTAAAAAGGTAAACTAAGGGTCTCTCATATCTTATTCCTTCTTGTAAGTACAAACCCATTATACATTTCTCTACAAGCATGATAATTGTTCTATTCAGGTATATATTCCTCCATCATACAAGTCTTCCCAAACACAATTATATGTCATTGCCATATTTTATTTCTTTTTTCTCTTGTTTTACAGGAATAGGACTGATTTTCAAAGGAATCACAAGCATACTCAACGAGACTGTAGTCTGGTGGTCATTCACACACTGCTTCTCTTGACCAATTTCCATAATATACCATATTAAATATTTAATATTTCATCACATTTTCCAGTTTTCCTGGAGATACAAAATCTCTGATCAGAAAATGGTTAATGATAACAGTTATTAGGATGTAGACATAAGTATGTCCACTAGTGCTTATCCCTACCCATGCTACACTTCTACAACAGTCATATGTGTCATGTTTCTGTATAAAAAATTGGGTTAGATCTGGTTCCAGGTTCTCTTCACATGAGTATATACCTGTTATTTGGCATCAGGGTGAATCATGATTCATCAGTGAAAACTTTTGTTATACACATCATTAGTCTATTGGACGTGTTCTTGGCACTATTGTGGGAAAATTGATATGTGCCTTAATGCAAGGATGTACCTCACTGGACATCCGATACACTATCCAGTCTGTGAAGTCTGTTTCTAGCCACTTAGTTTACTGACATGGCATTCAATTACAGGCTGTGGAATTATGTTTCAGTATTACAGCATGTATCCTATGACTGTGACAAGCCAAATTTGACAGGTAACACCTTTAGAGACATGCAAATGTCTGTTGTGATTAATCAGCTTCCATTAATTTGATAACTCTCCATGTGAGTGAAACATCAAAATTTCTTCTTTCAGTCCACGGCAACTTCGAGTATTTCAAACTCTGAAAGTTGCTTCAAAGTGAGAAATAAGACAAGACAGTGTAAAAACTTTTATACATAGCATACATGCTTAGTGATCAGTCATTTGTATTTCATGAATCAGATGTCTCATTCACAGAGCAATGAAATAAGGGAATGACTGACATTTTATAACACTGATTTCAGTTTTGTCTTATACATAACATTCAAAATTTTTTATTAAAAAAGTAGCAGTATTGGCAAATTTTGCTGATTCATGATTGACTTAGTGTTTGATAACCAATAGACTTTTTGGGTCCCATAATTGGTCTTCATGCTCAGTTTGACCATCACAAAATTGTCAGTTATAACAGCATTATACTTCGTAAAGACTTGATGATTTCTCATGTTTGCCAAGAGTATATTATTTCATAAAAAGAAAAAAGCTAACTTCTTTTTAACACATTGCAATTTTTTGTCGAGAAGTAAAACATTACTACTATTGGTTTCTGCGACACATCAAACTTTTAAGATTTCAGAAGTAGACAATTTGTTGAACATTTCACTGATACTACTATCAATAAAGTTACCGTTAAATTAATTTTGTTTCAAGACATTTTTTATACTAGTTATTTTTTTTCACTCAATCATTCAACAAAGAATAAATGTTTACAATCTTACAGCACATTTAACAAGTACTTTCACTAAGTTAACTTTAAATTCTGAAATAACAAAAACTATCAAAATTAGCACACAAGGTGGTTTTAAAATTGATATAGTATACGTATGCATGTATGTGTTCAGTTTCAATAATATGTATTACTAACTCCACTTATCCTTTAATTGTTTAGTGCATTGTCTTACAAACATTATATAAAAATATATTTTATCTTGAAGCCAATTTTATATTTTCAGTGTAATTTTTTTAATAACAACATTGACATTTCCTGTGGCAGCAAATATTTCCTGGCATATTCATTAATAGAATGCCATTGTTAGAGTCTCAAAAAAAAAAAGAGTATAAATTTCATCCATTACAATATAATTTTTAAGATAAAGAGTAAAGAACAACATATGTTTTGTGGATGATGAAGTATAAAATTATTTTGAGACATTTATTAATATAACTTCTGTACATTACACGAGTTTTGAATAAGGGATATATACATGAAAGATTCCAGCAGCGGTCAGACAGAGCTGAAGCACTGAGGGTACATTAAGAGTCACACGACACAGGTACAGCTTCTGAAGTTTCGTTCTTCTGCTTCCACTTCTTTGCCATTTCAAGAAGGCGCAGGTGAGGTTGTGCTGCTTCGTTTGTAGGGAAGATGTAATCATAATATTCTTCCCATCCTCCATCAGCCTAGTTGATAGAGAAAAAAAAATAACCAAATGATTTACAGACTTGTAAATTTTCGGTTTGTATTCTTCATGCTGCCAAGCTAGCAACAGAAAATACAAATAAATCTAGTGACAGTTTTAAAGATTATGTATAGAAGTAGCTTACATGAAACACATATATATCTCCAGTTACAGTAAGTTTTATAGATTCTACATAGAAGTAGCTTATAAAAAACACATATATATATATATCTCCAGTTACAGTAAGTTTTAAAGATTCTATATAGAAGTAGCTTACCTGAAACAAATATATATCTGCAGTTACAGTAAGTTTTAAAGATTATGTATAGAAGTAGCTTACATGAAACACATATATCTCCAGTTAGTTAGTTTTAAAGATTATATATAGAAGTAGCTTACATGAAACAAATATATATCTCCAATTACAGTGTTATTTATTATTACAGTAACATTTTTGTAAAAACAACAACAGCATAAAACAAACATCCAAACACATGAAGGTAACTAACTGATCAAATTTAAAACAAAGTGTTTGAAAGACCATTTCTATCAGGACACTACCAATTTCATGTTGTTGAAGCATAATACTACCAATTACTATCATATATGGATATATATATATATGTGTGAATGTGAAAAATAAAGATATGTATGTAAAAACATGTGTATAGGCAAGTGTGTGTGTGCATATGAGTGACTATTATACTTACCCCTCCATTCTAATTATGTAACATTTATTTTACATTAAACACTGTTTCGAAACATTGTGTCTTTGATCTGAATTTCAGTTACATATTTTTACAAACACCTTTTTAAACAAGTATTTTATGCAATCACAGATTTATCAAACAGGACACCATACTCTTCATCATTTGAAAATATCTAGTTCAAATACATGGTTTTTCTTTAACTAAAGTGACTTACTTACGATTTGTATTAAAGTACACAAGGAAGTAAATAATGCTTTGTTTTAGAGAAATACTGTAATTTGATAAAGTGACCATTTCTATTATAAATTGTTTTATGTAATACAATAATCAGTAACAAATATTCGATTTGAAATTCCTGTATGGACCTAATAATTTTGCTTCAAACCCAGACAACTAAACATCTTTCAAAAACACTATTTCTGATTCTTTGAGATATAATACGATACTGAAAATTGACTTACTCCTGTTTCGGTCTGGATCTTTCTTCTTTTCTTAACTTTCTTTGGCAACTGTTTCTCAACTTTTTCTCTAGATAAGTCATCTCCATATGTTTCCTATAATGCAATGAACAGTATAACTTATTTTATAAAATAAGCTATTTCCAATTTAAACTTGGTGTACAGCTCAACTGAACATACTCTGGCATAAATGAGTTAACAAGAAAAAAGGATTAAGTTCATGGTTCTTGTACGTTTCAAGAGTTACTACATGAACTGTTTTTATAATGTCATTATCTCTAATTATTCTGATAAGATTCGACTTCCACTTTTACATCCTGCACAAAACGTCATGAAAAGCAGGATAAGGCTTCACCACCACCACAATGAAACGTATGAACATCATTATTAAAGTAAAACATGTTTTAGATAAATAATTATCTTTTTTTTACTGACAATTATTTATCCAACTAATCTATACCAAAAATTGACACTACTTTATAATCCCTCTTATACCCATGGACTGAAGAGGTTTAGGTACCAGATCATTATGGATCTTTACTATGCATGATATCAGTCACCAGGGTTTTTCACAAAACATATCCAGGACATGTTTTGTGGAAAACCTTGATTAACCAATCACTAGTGCTACAGAGAAATGATGCTGTATAGTGAATGTGCACTTGGAAAAAAAGAAAAATACACTTGTAGTAGATGTATACGTGCAAAAGTAGTTTTGATGCAGATCAGTTGAAAATTGATTTGCAAAAAGGATAAAGTACAGATGATGCAAATAATGAAACCATGTTTCAGTTACGTTTTTCTATATCTTATGCACTTCTTAATAAATCAAAAATCATTTCACTGTTTAACATCTTAACTCCTGCCATAAATTGTTTTCTTCTCATCACTCTAGTAAGTTCCAAAATACTTGCTTTAATATCAATTCTTAAAGTTTATACAAATAAAAAAAAACACACTAAGACTTAGAATTATATGAATAACTGTAGTAATTGTTAAAATAAATACATACCTCAAAATCTTTCCAAGCTTCCAGTAACATCAATCGTTCCTCCTTTTCTTCAGAATGTTGAAGGGCTTTGTTTGCTTTATCATAAACGTGTCGAGCTTGTTCAGTTGAATTATAGGACTGTTCAAACTTGGCAAAGCTAATCCAGACCTTTTTAAACAATTTTTATTTTAATGAGAAATATCATTTATTAAAATATGATTTATAATTCTGGTTGATATATACTTATGCTTGTATATGCAAAATATATGTATATATTTTCTTATAAGGTGGAAGGATACGGATACACTTTGTGTTCCCCTTTAACTTATTTTGTCAATTTTCAATTTTGACTAAATCTTTCATGGATATTAATAAAATGGAAGTGTAACCATTTTCTTAAATCATAGGGCACATTTTTCTGAATATAAAATATGTGCATTATCATTCATAAAAAAACAGGTTGATCCCAAATTTATGTGATCATGAATATCACGTTCAAATATTTTATAATTTTAGATGTTCGGCTTACCTTTACCTTTCTTGGAGTTCATAATGTATCTACATAAAACCTTTACACATGAAGATTACTTGTATAAATGAAACTGATTTCAATGGCTTTATTTTTACTAAACAATGCAGGTATTGCATCTTTTTTATAAAGCAAGAAGTGTTAATTTCTAAATAAAATGAGAAAATACAAGAACTCAAATTTGAATAATTTTCAAAACTATTTTCTAATCTACTTTTAGTACTTTCAACCTGAACAAGCACCTTATGAAATACACAGGCTAAGCAGCTAGGTCAAAGACCCCCTAAGGTTTAGACATAATCCCTAATTTAGAATTTACTGACAAAAGAAAGACAACATGTCAGCAACATTTGCCACCTATTAGTTGCTCATAAACAAATAACAGGACTGTTTATTAGTTATAACACATCACAATGGAATTATAAAGCAAATTCAATGTCATATCACAGCTCAAACCTACAGTCAAAATTACTACATTGTTCAGTAAGCTTAAAAATGAAATGCATATACTCATAACTCACTTTTACATGTTGAGTTCTTTCTAGCAGTCTCTCGTACAGTTGCCTAGCATTCTCAAACTCTTCCTGTTCAATCTCAAAATCAATGTAACCTTTCCAGATCACTTCAGGCATATCAAGTCTCGGCTGATTGATAGCTATCTCATAAATAGCTCGGGCTCTAGCAATGTCTCCTAGAATTGTTTCCAGTTCAGCAAACTGTGCAAATCAAAACAAAGAAGGAATGATGCAAGTGGACCAAACTTATCATATACTCTTATAATACAACAGTTAATTTTATGTTACAATCACAGTTTCTTTATCATGTTTTTGTCTCTATTATTAAGGACTTCAGTTAATTTTATGTCACAATCACAGTTTCTTTATCACATTTTTGTCTCTATTATTAAGGACTTCAGTTAATTTTATGTCACAATCACAGTTTCTTTATCACATTTTTGTCTCTATTATTAAGGACTTCAGTTAATCTTATGTCACAATCACAGTTTCCTTATCATGTTTTCGTCTCTATTATTAAGGACTTCTGTTAATGTTATGTCACAATCACGGTTTCTTTATCACATTTTTGTCCCTATTATTAAGGACTTTCCTCAAATATAAGTGGAATATTACTTTATACCTTTCTTTCTTCTGATGTTACAACATTTTCTTTCACTAATGGTGAATAAGTTATGTTTTTTGTTGAAAATGAAACAAGATAAATATGTTGTTCCCTATTACTATTATTTTATGTACCAAGTTATGCAGAAAATGTTTTAAACTAATACAATATCAGTGATGTTTTATGTTTTTTAATGGATATTTTATATTAAAGTTTTTGTACAGATTAGTGTTTAATGCTTTTAATAAGTTTTAAGTGCATGCATAAAATGCAAATACACACACACACACATCTTATATGTCTATATATATTCATACTAGATCCTATTGTACTTTACATGCTATAAAACATGATTATAAAAATTAGTTTCTCCAGTCAAGAATGACTGACATCCCTCTTCTCTCTCTCTATGTTTACATATATAAAATACTAGAAACTCTTTACAGCACAGTACATATATAAAAATAACTTTATGAAGCACTTGGATGTTTTTTGTGTGAATATTTAAAATTTTATTTTACTTCTCCCTAAAATCAAGAAGTTCTACAAGAACAATAATTTATAAATAGAAGAAAAAAATGTTTTGCCTAGATTAGTTTTTTGTCTGACAAAGATGTCAAAGGAAAAAATAAATTACAATAAATACATTTCTTTATGGTAAAAGGTCACCTTTTAAAATTATATTTAAGAGTACATTTCAGATCAGTAATCTGACAGTACAATCTAGTTTCATGATAATAATTAGTGTTCCAAACATTTACCTTCAACCATGTTGAGCAGTTCTCAGGAGAAAACTCAAGGTATTTTTGATACAGAATTCTACATCGATCAAACTCTCTCAGCTGAATTTCTAAATCAATGTACCCGCGAAACAGCTTATCCTTAGGACTCATTCCGATGGCTCTTCCCTACAAATATTATTGATGCATAATAAACTTACACAGAACATAATGACAAAAGAAAAAAAAGTTAGTGACCAAAAAATCCTCCATAAAGGCATCTCTCTCTTTATTATGTAAAAACAAACCAATGTACCTCTTTATTCTGGACAAAATCTCCACTGTTGCATATGAGGTCATGGCGAAATAAAGTCAACTAAACAGTTAAATGGATAATTTTTGTAAGTCCAAATTTTTAAACTACCATAGATCGAAGTTATGTTATTTGTATCCTGTCGCAGTTAAAGTAGTTTTTGTGGCACATTCATCAATGAGACTTAGTTTTTCATACTGAAATACAAATTTCTTGGTCATTTATGAAAACTAGCATTAAAGGTTTGAAAGTTAGATTATATTACACCATACTTACCAGCAGTTTTCGAGCAGCAGTAAGATTCTTTTGTCTGATTTCAAACTGTGCTGCAAGAAGCCATATTTTAGCAAATGTAAAAACTTTATGTGGAATCAGCTGTATGCATGCCTGGTAGACCTGTCGAGTCTGATCCATATCACCAACTTCTAGTTCCTCATATAGAGCATAGTTGATCCACAAGTATATGTATCGTCTCCAGTATCTCTTTTCCTGATAAATCAAAAACAATTTAAACTTAAACAATTCAAAAAATTTTCAATACTCAAAAACAAGTATCTCACTCAATAACATCAAAAATCTAACCTTTAAATATTCAACTTATTCAAATATTAATTTATTATTTATAAAACTACTACTACTACCATACTTTTGTATAGAAAAAAATAGGAATTCAAAACTCTAACAACTGTGATTTATAAAAAACAAAATAATTTCCTAATACTGAAACTTTTTAATTTCTTTCTTATGAGTATTATAGCTCAATTTCACATATTTAAGAGTATAAAGAGTTTTTCATGGCAAACATTTTTCACATGTTTTTGTAAAAAGTGGTATTTCTTTTGAGAAAATAATCTTAATCCAAACAATGCATGCTTCACATGTTTTAGTTCTTAGTTTTATAGAACACAAAATGTCCCCCAGAGTTGTTTGCATAACTAATTTATTTTTTGTTATACTAATGTTTCTCCCTCCAGCATTATATCTACTTGAGAGACTGGTGGGTTTTGGTAGCTTTATAACAGTAGATATGTGCTTTGCTTATGTATGTCAACAGTACATATCCAACACCTATTTGACATCGAACCTTTGATGGAGGAACATTCGCAATAGATCTTTCATACACTTCCCTCGTGACATCGATGTTCCCTTCACTTTCCATCAGTCTGAGATAATCAAACCAGGCATCATAGTTGTGAGGATTACTCTTTACTTCCTAGAGATAACAGTAAAATAAAAATAAAAACAACAGAAAATATTAACAGATAACACAAGTTATGTTTAGATTGATTGATTCCAGTCTTATCATTTACATAAATCAATTCAGGTTCTGTCAACTAGCTTTCTTCAAATAAGAAACATTATAATTAACCTCTGAGCACACATATGCTTAGCATCCTAATTTTAATTAAAGTAGCATCATTTCAGTAAAGATACTATGCTAGTACTAACTAAAAATATAAATAGTTTAGTTTCAATCACTTATTGTAAGTCAACTTAAATATTTCGTCAGTAGAATTAAATTATTATAATATGATTAACAATCTATAACTGTTACAGAACTGAAGACTTGTAGCTGTAGGATTGTACTCTCAAAGTAAACAATATTTTGGGCTACAATCCTAGCACTGCCTAACATAGTTTGCTCACTTTAAGTTAAGCCTAAATCTATACATACTAAGTTTCAAATGTTAAGTAATCTTTAATGCAGTTAGTCTCACTTACTTGCAAACTATGAATGTCAAACAACTCAAGTCATAAGTTTCTCCGGATATTCTGACAAAAATATGTGTCACTGATGCACTATTCAACAAAATGGTATTGTAGTAGCACTGTTCTTTTAAACTACCCCATGAAAATAATTCAACATCTGGTCCATGTAACAATAATAAATTACTTTATTTCCTCCCTTGATGTTTCTACAAACGTGAGCACTTGTATACTGTTGTAAACTGATATACGCCTATATTAGAAATGACGTTAACTAATGTATAACAAATCAACTTAACTAACATGAAATAACTGCAATAGTCAACATGACTAATTCAATGATCTACCTTGAAATAACTGTACCTACTATCCTCTCCACTATCTTTCAACTCACTTTCTAACCTAACCTAATGATGCTTGAACATCTACATTTGAATAAACTGAAAAAACATGATGTCACATGCGTGTTCTACATCCTGTAACTAGCAAATTACAACATTAATAATATAGCTAACAACAGTATTATTTAATAGTTCTACAACAAAAGCTGTTTCAATTCTACAATAATAATTACAATTAATAATAATGAATCTAAATTATAAGCACTGGCACCTCAAGTTAAAAAAAACCTGCATAACCTAGTATCACCAGGTTTCTTTTTTTGTATTTTTTTAAATAAATGTAACTTATGTATTTGTCATTAGTGGTAAATTAAGTTATGTCTACTTATATTTTACAAAACTTTGTTAAAAGAGAGACATATTAACAGGTTGCTGAGTCCTACATTAACAAACAATATTTCTCATGCTGAAACTGTATAAATATACAAGAAAAATTTCCTAATTATTTAAAAATACAAAGCCTGTGAATGCTAAGTTCAACATCTTTTATTTTACTAGCAACTCTTCAAAGTTTGGTTTCATTTAATTACATCTTAGAAGCATAAAGAAATGGCTTATGAAGTCTAATAATAAAGAGGAAGATGGTTGACAAAACACAAAACATTTTATTTACAAGGTTCAAATGTTTTAGAATACATTTATTCGATCTTCAGTGAAATTTGAAAATAGTGTTACAAAGATATTTATTAAATAATGCTATAGTATTATAAATAACTAGTTTACTTAGTTAATAAATGTCTTTGTAACACTATTTTCATATTTCACTGAAGTTCAAATATGTGTATTCCAAAACATTTGAACCTTGTAAATAAAATGTCTCGTGTTTTATCATCTGTCTTCATCTTTATTATTAGACTTCGTTTCCCTCATAATGAATCTACTGCCAATGGCTTCTAAAAAAAAGACATCAGGATATTGATAACATTTTATTACAATCCCTGATAACACTGAAAATTTCTGCAAGAGCACCCTTAAGAACTTACAGCATGAAATTGTCAATATTTATCTATAACTTCTCCATTGAATAATAGAAAATACTCAGTAAGTCTAAACTCTTACCTACAAAAAATGGTTAAATATGAAAACAAGACCCTTTCATGCACTTATATCACTGAATCAGAACCTCACCCAAAAACAATCTTGCCATCATATTGAAGAACTTGTCACTGAATGAAAACAACACATCATGTGCAGCTAAAATTGAACATCTTGAATAAAATATGGGCTGTTAACAATCAAACAGTGGAAAAGCATCCTTATAGATTGATACTCCTGGTAATAACAATAACCATTGCAGAATTCAAATTCTTGAATATAAAAACAATTCTGGTTGGATAAAATTTTATTAATCTTCTAAACAAGACACCCTCTGATACTGAAATCACTCCTCTTAGTAAAGATTTTGAATTTTCTCCTACCAACTTTATAGTTAGGGAATTCCTTTTTAATCATTATGAGTTTTCTCAAAGGAACTCGAGTCTTTGAGAATTCTTTCAAAATGAACCTCACTCTACAATCACCAAATCCAATCACTTCCAAAGAAAAAGCTTTCCGGAAACCTCCCAAAGATAGTGAACCACATTTAAAAAACAATATTATGTCAGTTAAAATTACTCAAAGATCAAAATAACTAAATCATTTCCTTAATCTCACCTAATAAGAAACAAACTCTTAAAAAAACAAAATTTGAAAATACTGACATAATAATAACCAGCACAAGAGTGGTGCAATAGTTATTAAAAATAATTACATCACTGAACTTAAAAAACTAAAAAAAAAAGAAGTCTGCCAAAAATGTTTTGAGGAATCATTATGCTTTAGGCTTCATTTCATTTTTTAAATATTTATTATTTTAATAGAGAAATTCTCATACGTGGCTATTTCTAAACCTTGAAGAAACTTTTATGGAAGTCAAACAATGGTGCTTTTCTAAATATGCTACAGTTATTATAGTATTAAAAAAATAATAAAAGTTCATAACAAATAAAACATCTGCAAATATAAAGAAGACTTACCTCTTCATACTGAAATCTTCTCTTGCTCACTATAACATCTTCTATACCAGCTCGATCACCATATTTCTTTTCATGGATTGTGTAATTCTTAAAGAGTTCTTGAGCTTTCTCTTTTGGAATGTGATCAAGGGCATATTTGTAAATAACCCGCACCCTGTCATGCTGCAATAACATTTTAAGCTTACTTTAAAAACAGTTATTTTAACACTTATGGAAACAAATTTTGGAAATGAATAAGTTGAAGTTTCAATCAAAATGTTTCTTAAATTAGAATTCATTCTCTACCTGTTAAAGCTGGAAAAAAATAACGTTGGGATTTTTAATAATTTTTGTGTGTGAAAACATAATGTTACATTTTTTTTTGCCAATAAGTTGGTCAGATGAGATTTAATAAAATGACTTAAAGTATATATTTAATTACTGCTTAAATTAAGAAAATTCACCCATGAAGTTAATTTTTTTTTTTCAAACGACTCTGGTCAAAGTATAATATTTATTACATTACTAGTATCCTACATGTATTTTACTTGTAAGGATGGTATAAATTTGATTCTGATAAACTTAATTTTAACACATCCCTCAGGAGCCAAGGGGAGGAACTGTTTAGAACCACCTTGGTAAATATTGTGCAGCAAGCCGAGTACAACATTATGCCTGCAGCTGCTTTCAAAGTGTTCCTGTCTGTTTTTCCTACTGCTGACTATCGTGATGTTTTGACCTTCACTACCGAATCGCAGGTGAAATTGTTCATATCTCAGTTGAAAGCTAAACATAAAATGGTGATAGCAGAAGCATAAAAAGTTGTTAATTGCTTAATTCTTGATGCTGAGAATATGGCTTTATTGATATATACTGAATTTACTCCCAATGGGTTGACCTTAGTTCCAGCTAGTAGGGAGACTTGAGACTTAAAAAATTATCAATTAACAAACGAAAACTTGTCTCGAAGTTGTTTCAAAAAGATACATCCCAAACCACCTTCTTTGGGAGTGTCCAGATTGAACTTACTTTTAATATTCAACACATTGTAGTGTAAAGACAGAATACCTCTGCTTGTCATTTGGACACATCCATGCCGCCTGTGCTTGGCCGTTAAGCTCGTGATGCACTGATGGATTTCAATCACATACCACTTTTCTCAGCCCCAACGCAAAAAGAGTGCAGAAACTACCTTCTTTTTATCCAATAAAAATGTCCAAAAATTTTCAGTACAACTTAAGAAATTTGGGAATGGGTAGTTTTTTTACCCCTGACAAAAATGTCCCCCACTGGTTTGTGAGGGGTCTGTTAAGTTATATATAACTACATTTCTACAAGCCTTTTTGTAATTAGGCTGATGGTCTCTAGTCTTACCTACATAAAAGCTACTCGAGAAAAGAAACTTAGCACACTACTAACACACCATTAAAATTTTTTTAAACACTTCCATATCAAATGGTCCTGAGATAAACTGTTTATATCATATTTAATATCACCTCTCAACTGAATAACACTGGTAGTTTCCAGTAAAAAAGTTGACATTAGCAGAAATCTGTTCAAATGTGCCAAACTTATATAACCTTGTTATATAACAATAATTAAGATGACATTTAAGTATATTAAACATATTTTTGGGAGCTTTTTTTAAAATGGAAGAACTTTTAAATTTCCCTAACATCTATAAATAAATAAATAAATTAAACCTCTCTCTGGTTTTCTTCAAACTTTGCAAATGCAACAAATAGTTTTTCATCCATGTATTCTTCACCATAGAACTCTACAGATCTTTCATACACTTTCCTAGCATTGGAGATGTATCCATTCTGTTCTTCAAATCTGGCATATCGGACCCAGTTTTTTATTTCTGGATGGACTATCACAAGTAAATTGGAATGAAGGAAAATACTTTATGGACTATTAATATACCCACATATAAACAAAATTATGTGAATTTAATTATGAGAAAATACACAATTTGATCATGATTGCACATTATACAACACTTGAGATGTATCTTATTAGCTAGGGTCAAGATATTCATATTTAAAACCCACCTTATTCTAGGGAATAAATGAAATAACCAACAACAAGATCTGGATACACTTTTCACAAGACATAATAAGGTATTAAATGGCAATCTGATTTGTACATTATTTGTATTATATTTCAGATCTGTTTCCACAAAATAAGATTAATTTTATCTCTATTTCATTTCAACATATGACAGTACAGACTAATAAAGACATGCAATGAGTCTCCAATATATTGTAGGGTATTAGGCTAATATTTGTGTGTTCTGTTAGAGATGCTCTGTTCTTACTTTAATGTTATTTTCATTAACAGTATGATTTGAATATTTGTTATTATTTTTTCTATTATTATGCTTTTATTAGAAAGATTATTTGAATTGTTAGCTTAGTATATGGATTTATAACTAACCTTAATCTCCTAAGCTGGCCAAACCATATATTATTGGAATTATGACCAAAAACATTTGTCAAATGAGCAAAGTCAACTGATGAAATAGTGCATTCTAGTCTTCATAAGTAAAAATGTAAAAACAATATATTTAATTAGCTATGCTCATTACGAGGTACATTTTTTTTAGCTCTAACTGACGTGAATAGCTTGCTTTGACAACAGATTAATATCAACTACAAAAGACATTCAAATTTTTAAAGACACATCTGCAAAATAAATGATACATTGGTTTAAATTATTTGTACTCTATGATATTACGCTTACAAAGATGGGACGTATTTTTCTATATCTCTGTTTGAAGTTTCTTATCATACTTTTTCAAACTGGAAAAACATGTCAGTTATATCTGACAAAACTGAGTTTCACGAATCAGTTTCAAAACTATTGCAATTACTTTACCCATTGATGGATTTTATTTGTTACCACAAGCTTTTTTTCCTTTTGTTCTATATATTTTATGTTCATAAGTGTGAGTTTGTAAAGTGGAAGTAAAGAAAATAAAATGAACATTAGTTTGAAACTTAGAGGAATGAGAATAATCATCATGTGAATAAAAAATAACAATATCTGATGTAAGTTTCCTTAAGAAAGAAATACTAATCAAAGTTTGGAACTAATCATATTTTGAGAAGGGACATAATAACAAAGTGAGTATATTATTCATAAATAAATAAGTGTTTTAACTGCTAGTAAAATAACTGTAAACTATTATTAATAATTTTAATTTCCAGTACTATATAACATAAGAAGAAAAGCTGGCATGAACAAAATAACAAACAAATATCTTAACACATATAATGTAGCAGGTTCTTCATCATAATAAAGAGGTTATATATTTTCCTAGTTATAAAGCAGTTGTCACAGTAAACATAACTATTAACTGTCTAATCATTGTAGTATTATGAAGGATATATCTTTCATAGATGTTTCTTGCTCTTTCTAATTCCTTGTAGCGTAGCTCAAACTTGATGTATGTAAGCCATGGCTGCTCATCTGGTTCCCACTCCATCCAACGTTCAAATATTTGTCGAGTTCCAGGGATGTTACCCAGCATTTCTTCCATGTAGCTGTACTTGTACCAGAACTGGTTGACTCGTGGCAGGATGGACACTGCTCTGTCCCACAAATTCCTGGCATGGTTGATCTGTCGATGTCTTTAAAAACATATCTAAATCACTTCACATTCAATGTTTAAAAATTAAAACTTGTATATATAAAACAGTACTGATGCAATGATAGTTTTCTAAATACCAAACAATGCTACAAGTGGCATTCATTCTAAATCAATTATCGCTGGTTAACTTAAAACTGCTATAAACAGAAATGTTTAGCTTTTATAATCAAAGTTAATGGAGCAGTAGATTTTAACATTTTATATAAATTTACTGAAACTAATTACCAAAATTATCTGTATTCGGTTTACTTTAATGCCCTACCATATCTAAGGGTAGTGGTGTTTGTTGAATATAAATGAAAAACATTCTTATTAGAATTAGTATATACCTAAAGAAAGTAGTTTACACTTTTTAACAATATATCTTAGCTAAATTTTAAAAGATTTTCTTTTGTTTTGTTTAAGGCAAAGCAACTAAGGATATCTGATGCCATCCCTAATTTCTAACTTTTGACTAGATAGACAGAGCTAATCTTAGGCAAAATTGTGGCCTGTGAAAACTTTGTATTTGATGCCCATTCCCCTGTAAAATTAATATGAACTGCTTATTGCAATGTCTATTTTGGCATTCCATAGGATGGGCGCTCTGTGTGGGAGCACACATCGCTAACCCCAAGGGCCAACTTGTAGATGGAATGGAACCAGCTAGCAGCAACCAGTGACATCTCTTGGGATAATATTTTATCATCAATTAATGGTGTAATTACAGTAAACATTATATCACCTCCACCACTGAAAGGGTGAGCATGGTCGATGCCGGGTTTCGATTCCTCGATCAACAGACTGCAAGTCAAGTGTCTAACCACCAGACCATGTCTTTTACAAAACAGTAGATTTAGTAATTATTTGCAGTTAATTAAAATAACATAAAAACACAACATAAATATAAAATATTTAATCCAAATTAATTTCACTTGAAACACAAGGATACAAGTTTATTTGTATGATGTTTAAATTGTAGCCTTTACCCAAATATACTGATATATATCACAGTAATGATTATAACATGATTGTATCAGATATAAATCAATTAAGAACATTATACTCAGTTAACTGAGCAAAAATCTCACCTCATTTCCATTTCAGCATACTTCAGCCACAAGGTAACGTTTCTGTGGTCCACGTCCAGTGCTCTTTCGTAAACTGAGCGAGCCCTAGAAGACAAAAAAAAATGTCTAAGCAACTCACAAAAACATAATTTCTTAAGCCTTTATAATTACCAACAGGTATCAGGTTAATATTGAAAGTTTTATGTCAATTTTTGTCACCATGTATAAATAAAACCAAGTTAAAATTATTATGCACATTTTTTATTATCAACACAAAAGTACGTATTTGTGATACAAAATGATCACTAAAATTTGCCAAAATCAGTTTTTTTCTCCAAATCTTTGTACTTGTATTAATATTATATATTTTTCTTTTTTTAAATTAATTTTTGTTACCTTTGAATTTCTTTCTGACTCTCCTCCCATTGGGCATATTTGATCCAATTTGAAATAACTGCACGATTTTTTCGGATACTGTCTTCAAAGGCCTGTTATTAATATAAATACAATTTCTAATGTACATTGTATATGAAATATAAAGATTATATGAACAAGTGAAATGCACTAGTGGTACAAAATGTTTAAATGCCATATAACATACGTTTTTTTCCCTTGAATCAATTAACAAAGTTCTATATTCACAGCTTAATCTAATGTATATTAAGAATAAAAAATATGTTGAAAGTCAATCAATATATTTCCTGTACATTTTATTAGTTAAAATACATGCAATAGGATTCAAGTACATAAGAGTAATCTGTATAGCAAAGCTACACAATTGGCAATCTATGTTGTGCTTACTACGAGTATTGAAAACTGATTTTTAGTGTTATAAGCCCCCAGACTCATCACTGAGCCATCGGGAAACCTGTATAATAACATCATGATATTCTCATAATGAATGATACACAAATTTTTAATGTGTATTAAACTTCATGCAAGTCTTATTAAATCATGTCTACTTCTATGTTGAAAAACATAAATTTTACTTATGCTACAAACTTTATATTGAATTGATCATTTAAAAGACTAAAACTGATCACACAAGAATAACAAATGCTAAAATTGTACTAGATCTTATAATTTCAAGAGAAATGTTTTCAGAAAAATCAAACTGTTAAAAAGAGTTATTTTATATTTATGTCAATTACTGTCGTATATTTAGAAGAAAAATCATTCATCAAACTTACTTTTCGTTTTCTTAACTGATACTCAGCCAATTCATCTGGATCAGAGATCTTCTGTTTTGGTGGCTGTTAACAAAAATGACCAGTACATTAAGTTAATACTATTGAGAGAATTATGAAAGCCAGTACCACACCATGAGTTTTATATATACCAAATAAATATGTTTTGTTTAAAAGATAAACACCAAACTTTTAGAATGGTAACATATTCAGTTATGCAGAATTTGAAATTACAATTACTCATTGTTATTGTTCTCTCAACTTCTTTTGTATCTTACTGCAACAATGTTAATCAAGTGTGTATTGATAATTAATTATAAATAAATAAAGTTTCTGAAATAACAAAAATGATTTGAGAATGGTCTTGAAGACAGACAAAATACACAAGGGAGAGTTTTGGATATTTTCACATGTTAATTAAACATCAGCATTATTTTGTTTAATGAGCAAGCCTAAAAACATTCAGAAATTAAAAGTAAAAAAAAATACTTAGTAGCCAATGTCTGAAATTCATATTATTTAGTTGGCCCTAACTCATCGGCCAAATACAAAAGCAAAAAATAAATAATTCGCCCTTTAGGACCAATTGTAATTTTAGCATCCTTCCTATTTTATCTTGTTGTTATATGTGCATTTCTATATTTTTTCTCCCTAAAACAATAGTTGTGTTTTTGTCTTGTGACAGCATCTTCTTTACTTAAATCTCACAAGTGGAGCTTCTAGCTTTCTGGAGATCCTTGACCAATTTTTAAACATTATGGGAAATCCCTATGATGTCTGAAAGGTAAAGGAGCTTTCTGGAAAATGAATGGCAGGATTGATTCAAACTTAGTATGATAAATATTAACATCACAATGGAAAAATATCTTACCCTTTGTTTGGTACTGAAATAGAAATCTCAAGTCACATTTTTTAATGTTTATCTAGATTAATATAAAGATCATTTACATTTGAAGAGTGATATAATCAAAACCTGTTGTTTTCAATCACAGCTTTTTGTTTACATGTTAACACATATATGCACATACATGTTTGTAATTGATAAAATGGAATTAACACATATATATACACACACACATTTTGAAGCGAAACAGTTGAACCTGATAAGGACCTGTCAGAATTTTTTATATTTGTTTTCTTTCCAACACTTATATGATATTTTATTAGACCAAATCAAAGATAAAGAGTAACTGCACCACATTTCAATATATGAGAAAATTACACGCAAATTTGGTATGGTTAGTTATTACTCACTGGTGGAACAATTTCTAAGTCACGTTCTTTTGCTTCTCGTAATAACTGTTCTGCTGTTATCTGAATTTCTGCTGGGGTTTTATTTTTAACCTGAGAAAAATTAAAATATTGTTAATAATATCCACATTAATTCGTATCACAATAAAAGAGATATCATAACACAAGACTAAAGAAACAAGCATGGGCAAGGCAATAGGAAATAAATTTGTCCAATAACGTTAATTTTAGTCTCCAATAGCCCACATACTCTTTAAATCTTATACACATTATAATATATTATGCAAAAACACCAACTGAAAGAAGTATCCACAATGAACAAACAACAAAACTTACAAAGCATCAGCAAGTAGGAAAGTTTACCCAAGTTATTTCTTATCAAACTCTTATAAACACAAAAGTGGCATAGCTACATTCTACAAGTAATTTTACTGACTTTATTATAAACATATAAATTAGACTTAAAGTTAACATTATTAGGATAGGCTTAAACTATTTTCTAATCTTGCAAAAGAGCTAACAAGAAGGTCTACAAGTTTAGATTTATTGTTAACAACTAATTAAGATGTGGTTGTAAGAGTTTAAGTGGGAAAACTTTTGGGGAAAAGCGATCATTGCATCATCAGGTTTGAAGTTTTGCTACATATTGGCATAAAAAAATGAGAGTTTAGTTCCTAATTTTTCCAAAGTTAATTGTGATGTCATGAGACAAGATTTATCATAAATGAATTGGGATAATGAGTTAAAAGGTGATGTTGGAACAGATTTGGGAAATTTCTAAAAATAGATTTCAATTTAAGATAGGCATGCTCCTAAAAAAGAAGAAAAATCAAGGATAAATGCCATAAGTAGAAGAGGTTTATAACACTGGCTAACAAATTTATATTTTTCTTCTGTATCTTACAAAAGATATTGTAAGGTTTCTTGTCTCTAAAAATCTAATTAAAAAATTTCTATCATGCCTAGTTTTCCAGAGACCAAACATTTAGTTTTGTCTATCTAGAAAGTTGTTTGGTTGGGCTATCATGATTATATATATTTAAAAAAATTATAAACAAAGCAATTTGACGACCACATTTGAAAATTTTAAGGTGTACAGTGAGGCATATAGGTATGATGGGAGTGAGTTCAGTGAACAAATTAAAACTAGAGCATCTTTTCTCCGAACATCTTGTCCTACAAAACATCTCAGTGTTTGACAAATGCATTTAACGTTTTATCAATTTCTTATTAGCTATAATGTCAATATGATGTTTGCATTAAATATACTAAATAAGCAATTTATCTTATAAAAACCTGGAACTATGTATATCTTGAAAACTATATGTGATACAAAGAAAACGTATTTTCTTCAGTCTTCTTATACCTGATAAAGATTAGTTATTGTTTCCTGTGAGACAATCTTTGTTAACCAGTGTAACTGATTACCTATAAGCATCGATTAAACTGATTAATGCATAAAAATAATCAACTAATTAAAATTAGTGTTTCTCATTATTCCAACTGTCCAAGTAATTGAAATATTGCTATGATGTTTCTTTGTTATTTTTATTTAATTCAATGTTGTTCAACTTAATCAATTAGGGTCACAACTAATGGAAATAATCAATTAATCAAAATTAGTGTTTCAAATTATTTTTACTTTCAATTCCAACAACCTACGTTTCATGTGAGAATAATCAATTAGTTGAATGTAATCAATTAATGATCTTGACAATAAATTAAATATCAAATTTCACTAATAACAATGATTTAGCCATAAGTGTAAGAGATTAACTGATAGATAGGAAAACTAAGGATTTGGCTATATAAAAAGAAATTACGAAATTGAAAAAGACTTATGACAAACATCTTGCTGATAAGGTACAAATTAGTAGCATAGATTGTTTTTTAAGTATATTAAAAGTATGCAAAATGTTCAAATGGGGATTAGGTCTTGAGAGGATGCTAATGTCAAAGTTTTGTTGAGAACCATCAGATTGCTAAGCTTTTAAATGTTTTCTAAGGGAAAATCTTCCATTGCTAAATTGTTTTAGTTTATTTACATACGTTATCTGGATGATGGAAAGGGTGTAGACTTGGTGTACTTAAATCTTCAAAAAGATTTTGGTAAAGTGCCACACAAGAGATTAGTTATTAAAAATATATTTGTTGGTGTTATGGAAAGATCAGTAAATTATACTGTATGACAGATGGGTGAGAGAAAGCAAAAAGTTGTAATTGGGTCCAATTAAGCTGGATTCTTGTTACTAGTGAAGTGTGTTAGCCTTTGCTTTTTCTTATTTATATTAATGACTGAAGAAACATATCTTAGTGTAGTCAGTGATGGCCCTGTACAAAACTCAATCCTGGGGCCCCTATCCTATATTCTTATCAGTAATACTACACTATAACTTTCAAACGGGGAAACAGCTATTCTATGCACTGAGAATATAATGTATTGCATTATAAAACAATACTCATAAAAAAAAAGGATCACAAAGGCAGTATGTTATAAAATTATAACTAAAGTTAGTTGTAGTAATAAAAACCAGAGAAACAGAAAGAAAATCATGTGAGGAACAATACACGAGTAATTACACTATCAAGAGATATTAGTATCTTAGAAATATAAACCATGCTTTGGGATTGGTAGAAAAGTCTTAAAAAAATTTATACGTTTGTGTCTACAGATGAGATAACTTGGCTTGTAATACACTATGTGTTAATATTAACTTGTTGCCAACATATTTCAAATAAATGTAACTGAGTCATGATGGCAGGGGCCTTGATCCTCCTACTGATTTAGGCTCCATGCAACTACATAAGTTGCATGTTTTTAAAACTGCCAGTAAGTATATTGGTGTACAAGTCACCCAAGCTCTGTTGATAATAGAAAAGCTAATAAATTTTAGGGTGTATTGACACACACATTGATCACAAGTCAAAAGAGTTAACTGGCTCTTTATACAAACTACTAAGATCTCACTTGGAATACTGTGTACAGTTTTGGTATCATTATCCAAGAATGTTTATCTACTCATTGGAAACAGTTCAGAGGCAGGCTACTTGGATGACTCTTGGAAGCAAATGATTATCTTATGGGAATAGGTTAAGGTTTCTCTATTTTCTCTTGGAAAAAAAAAAAGGATAAGAGATGATCTTCTGGATGTGTTAGAAGATTATTCTGATGATCAATATGATGAATTGAGAAAAAAATACAAACACAATTGTATGTTTAACAAATAATTCACTTATTAACAACCATGTTTGTTTTTCTCAATTCTGTAATTATGGAGCTTCACCAAGTATCGACAGCTTCAAGTATCAAATATGATGAATGTTTCTGTTTTGATTATGCTATATTCTGAAAAGAATAGGAAGAGAAAACACTAGCTTAAGGTTTGAAAATATAGGTTAGGCTTCAGTTATAACAATTTTATTAAGAGTTTAAAAGAGGAATCACAAATTTCCTGAAAAATAAAGTGTGAGTTTAATATTTTACTTTCCTCAAGAACAGATTTGTAGGGACAGCTTTGGAGAACCAAATGGTTCCTTATTCATATGTTTTGTTATAATGTCTAAGTTTATTTAATTCTTCTATATTTTCAGGGTTTACACATACATATTCTTTGTGTTTAAACAACTTGAACACAGAGTATTACTGTCTATTGATCTTTCTGATATTAGTAATTCCATGGGCATGGAATCATGCTTAAGTATTTAAATGATAAGGGCTGCTTTTGAAATGTTTTATTAGTTTAGTTTTGTGGACGGGTCAGCTTCAATCACAGGCAGCTAAACAAATTTGAACTTGGGAAGGAGGCATCTTAATACTTGCTATGGTAACTGTGACCATTGAATTCAAAGTTCAAAACAGGGACTTTCCCTGATAATCATGTACAAGTTTATACTCCCCATTTAAAGAGGCACTTTGTTACTGGGTCAAAATTAGGGGGGCATGTTACCCTTCCCTGGTTCTGATGCGGCGCCTATTGTCTAAGTGATCCAACAGATCCTTTGTTGTCCTTAGGTTATACACTAGTATACTGGTATTAACTTTTCATCAGCTTAAACTTTAGTTGAACTTACTAGTCGTACTACTACTATTATAGTATTAGTATTAATAATGCTACTACTAACAATAGGTCTAGTAGTAGTATAAGTAAAAGTAATACAATATAAATATAACGTTAGGAATAGTAATACTAAATCACTATAAGTATTACTACTGTCTTTTACAAAGAAATAACTTGGTTTAACTCAGTCTTGACTTTTAGTTTTACTATCAGTTTCAGGTAATAATAGTACTTATACTAATATTCATACTACTTCTACTAGTACTATATTTACCTTTGCCACTTTAGGCACTTTTTGTAATTTCTTATCAGCTGAGGAATCCATTTTCAGTATTATTACTTATCTGAAACTAACAGAATTTTAATACGTCTATAAACACATACTTCTTTTAAATTTTTAACGATAACCAAATGTCCATGATGTACAAAATTGTTATTAACCCTAATACAAGCAATATGTGTACTGTTGCGCTCTCTATACTATTGTATATATATAATATACAACTGAAATATTGTAATACAAATAATAATACATTTTCAAAAGCGTGGAACTTCAATTTATACTTGTTTTCTAATAATTGAAGATTGTTTTTATGGCGAGCCTATCCTAATAAGTTTCGATTTTTTTAAATTACCACCTTAAAATCAAACATGGAATTATTATTATAGCTATCATTTGGATTTACATGTTTTAGGTTTGTAATTTATTATACTAATATACAAGGTAACTGTTTATATATTTGTGAACCACTTTTAAAGCTAGAATTCATCTAACGCCTAAGTATACACAAGTTGTAATGTTATATTTAGACCATAAATAACATTAGTAATTCACGCCTACCTTCTTCGACTGTCGTTATACTGATTTTTGTTTTCAATTTTTAGCTAATCGTTTCCCGTTACTATATAAATCTTCACACAAATTCGTTGCTTTTGGGAAGGGTATGTAAGAGCCGTTTCCAATGCAAACTATTCATATACTTAAATCATAAAAATATGCTCAAATCGAGGATTTAGAATTTTCAAGATAGTAATATCTCTTTTACTTAATGGCATTGATGAACAAATGAATATGGGTCAACTTGGGGACCCAGGACTTTATTAAAAGAGACCTGCAACAAGTTGTACCCTAGGCGGGGTGAACAAAATATGGTTTCTTATAGCATATGAGAATCTTCGAACATAAATGACGAGTGGCCTATCCTCGTATCCCTTGCAACGCAATCAAGAAAAATATCTAGCTGGTAAAGAAACATATATTATATGTACACAAATTGCTCTCCAGACATATCCGTTCTTCTGTTGCACGCCTCAAGCAGTTGGAGAATGAAACGGGTATTCATAGTATTCCATATGAAGTACTTTGGTCAAGTCACTGTATGCAGCGCCTGTGGATTTCTGCGGGATTGGACATTATATAGCTCGCAGGAAAACAAGCAGAGAGGAGTATTGTGTTTTGAGCATAACAGTCTTATAAATGGCATTTTGAAATGGAAATTAAACCACATGACTATTGTCAGCATCCACGGAGTATGAACAGATGTAGTGACATGGACTATAATTACATGGCTGTGACTCCAAAGTCGTTTTAGTACAGCATAATCTACATGTAAAACATTTTGAAATATTTTATAAACTATAATTTATAGTCTGAGACTCACAAAATATATCAATAACTTAAATTCTGTCTAAAGTTACTGAATTTTATATCGTAGTTTTGGAATTGATATTTATATTAATGATTAAAAAAACTAAATTGAGAATACTTAATAATAAATCGCGCGTCCAAATTAACGCATATAAGATTATAAAGACTTGAATGAAGGTGAAACCTTTTGAGAAGATATTGTTGCGTCAGCGAAGTCACATGACTAGTGTCACGCCACGTTTCTAGAACTATCCTGTACTTTGGCGAATGCTCTAGCATTTACTAGATATAGGGTAGTCTGGTATATAAAAGAGGGCGACAACGTGACGGGACAATAATGTATGTGTAGATAGGGAGTAATTGAACTGCAGTCAGAAGTATTGTTGACGTTTGTTGATATAGCGTTTGTTATAGAGCGACTGTTGAAAATAAGTGT